GCGGTGACTGGCGGAAAATGAGTGAGCCTAGGGCCGGCAGATTGCGACGGAGGATACGAAAGAGCCCCAGTACAGGTCTCGTCGTCGTACGGAAAAAGTTGAGTCTGTGATATAATGGCTAAAGGAGCAAAACCGAATGCTGGAAAACTTTTGTGGAACTGAGGTAAGTTGGCTGTATATATGCGCGTGTGTGCTTGTCAAGGTGATTAGCTGACGAGCTCCACCTGGGCCAGACTGATTGATTATCTGATCGTGCTCCTCCCGAACCTTGTTAATAAAACATCATATAGAAATTAGATTCAGATTCGAGAATCAATTTGAATCGAATTAAGAGAATCTAAACGATTCCCCCACTACTACCAATCACTCAGAACACTCTGACAATGCCCTAACAACCAGAACACCCTGACAACACACTAGCTACCACTCAGAACACCCTAACAACCAGAACACCCTGACAACGCCCTAGCAACCACTCAGAACACCCTAACAACCAGAACACCCTGACAATGCCGTACCAACCAGAACACCCTGACAACGCCCTAGCAACCACTCAGAACACCCTGACAACTCCCTAACAACCAGAACACCCTGACAACACCCTACCATTCAGAACACCCTGACAACGCCCTACCAACCAGAACACCCTGACAACACCCTACCATTCAGAACACCCTGACAATGCCCTAACAACCACTCAGAACACCCTGACAACGCCCCAGCAACCACCCAGAACATCCTGACATCGCCCTAACAACCAGAATATCCTAACAAATCCATAGCAACCACTCAGAACACCCTGACAATGCCCTAGCAACCACTCAGAACATCCTGACATTGCCCTAACAACCAGAACACCCTGACAATGCCCTAGCAACCACTCAAAACATCCTGACAACGCCCTACCAACCAGAACACCCTAACAACACCCTACCATTCAGAACACCCTGACAACGCCCTACCAACCAGAACACCCTGACAACACCCTACCATTCAGAACACCCTGACAATGCCCTAACAACCACTCAGAACACCCTGACAACGCCCCAGCAACCACCCAGAACATCCTGACATCGCCCTAACAACCAGAATATCCTAACAAATCCATAGCAACCACTCAGAACACCCTGACAATGCCCTAGCAACCACTCAGAACATCCTGACATCACCCTAACAACCAGAACACCCTGACAATGCCATGCCAACCAGAACACCCTGACAACGCACCAAGCAACCACTCAGAACACCCTGACAACGCCCTAGCAACCACTCAGAACACCCTGGCAACTCATAGCAACCACCAGCAGTGACAGTGAGTTTTGCACAGAAAAGCAGCACTCGCATTTTGTACTGAATTTGTACAAATCTGGTTTGTTTTACGTATAAATATTTTAAATATTTTATGTGTCAGGTAATGAAGGACTGTGAGTGTGTGTCAGTGTGTGTGTGTGTGTGTGTGTGTGTGTGTGTGTGTGTGTGTGTTTGTTCGCTCTCTTTCTCTCAGTGGTCTGGTTGTAGTTTTCTGGCTCTCCTCCAGTCATACACTGTTATTTTTGGACTCAGCAATGGGAAAATAAGAAAGCGTATAATCTTTGACTAAGAGGATGTCTCTCACACACACACACACACACACACTCACATAAACACACACACACACACACACACACTCACATAAACACACACACACACACACACACACTCACATAAACACACACACACACACACACACACTCACATAAACACACACACACACACACACACACTCACATAAACACACACACACACACACACACACTCACATAAACACACACTCACACACCTTGTGTGCGCGTACGCACAGGCGTATGACTAGTGTGTGTGTGTGTGTGTGTGTGTGTGTGTGTGTGTGTGTGTGTTTGTTCGGTCTCTTTCTCTCAGTGGTCTGGTTGTAGTTTTCTGGCTCTCCTCCAGTCATACACTGTTATTTTTGGACTCAGCAATGGGAAAATAAGAAAGCGTATAATCTTTGACTAAGAGGATGTCTCTCACACACACACACACACACACACTCACATAAACACACACACACACACACACACACTCACATAAACACACACTCACACACCTTGTGTGCGCGTACGCACAGGCGTATGACTGTAGATGCAGTTTAAGCGGTGTAATCTATCAGTTATTTGTATAATTAGCGTGAATATAAAATGATCAGGATTGCGTTTGATGAGGTTTTGCCGTTGGTTCTGCTCTCTAAACCCTCAACATCATGTTCCTGTTTTCTGGAATCTCCTCCGGATTCAGAGCGATCGGCGCTCGTCAGACACTGAGGTGTTTGGAGGTGTTTTGTCGGTTTCGTCTCTTTTGTACAGGTGCAACAATGGCTTATTTTTGTCCTCATGATACGGAGCAGGACGGAAACTCACAGACAGCACAGGAAGTCAGGCCTCTCTTCTCTCTCTGCTTCCTGTTGCTCCTCAGAACAGAAATAACTTTCCTCTCCACGAGGAACCTGAAGCTTTTAACTTCTTAAGATCTACAGTCAAACACGGCCAGGCTATAAAACTGCACAGATATGAAATACAAATATTTTAATATTTTAAACATTCAGTATTTATTTAAATATATTTAATATTCAAATATTACTATTTAAATGTATTTAATATTCAAATATTAGTTATAATATAATGTTAGGGATTCCAAACACCATTAGTTCGCACGTCTTAGTTCATTTAGAATACTAGCATTTATTTAATAAAACGTTATATTAAACATTCATGCATTTTATTATATTGCTGCATTTATAAAAGCAGTTAGCACGATGCCATGTTTTACGTATTTCTTTCAATTTAGATTTTTTAAAACTATATTATTTATTTTAATATGATTTAAATATTAAACAAAATGCAATGCCAGTAATTCCAAACCATTAGTTTCCACGTCCTGTTAAAATAATTGTTTATTTTGCATAATATTATAATTGTTTTCTATCATTTTGTATTAAACGGTTATGTATTTTATCATATCGCTGAATTTCTAAAAGCATGCAATTGGCTAGTGATTTAATTAATTAATTAATTGATATATTTATTTAAATATTGCTATTTAAGTATATATACATATTTTGTTGAACATTTCTATATTCAATAAACATCAGGCTAAACATTTTGTAGTATTATTTAATAAAGTAGTTGTTTATTTAGAATGTTATTCTTTATTCTATGTAATTTTATACTAAACGTTTATGTATTTTATAACTTTGTTCCATTTATGAAAAGCTGTGAAGGCATGTGTTACAGTGATTTATTTATTTTTATTAAAATAAATTGAATATTTAAATATTAATGTTATGCAAGTGATTCCAAACCCATTTTGTATGACTATTTAATGAAGTAATTGTTTGTGTTTTATCATATTGCTCCCCATTTGTGGTGAGATCGTGTTACAGTGATTTTACTGCGGTATGGTTCATGTCGTGCGTGTGATGCAGAAATAACATCCTCATCCTCGGTGGTAATTAAAGATCTGGGATGTTTGTCCAGTGGATGTTTCTCATGATGCTGACCTTTGACCTGAAACTCATGGGAAAGGCTGACTGTATAATGTTAACAAACACGAGACGCTGCAGAGAGTGAACCCACAGGAAACCAAAGGCTTCTCAGAGCTCAATGTAAACACATTAACCACAGATATAATTACATGATATAGTTGTTGTTGTTGTTATTATCAATAACAATTTTAATTTAAAATCTACATTTTGTTAAATAAATATTTTTGCATATCTATATGTAATATGAGTTATTATATAAAACTAGTTATGTAATAATATATAGAATGATTCATGTAATTAGGCTAGTTAATATACAATCTAGTATTATACACAAAAGATTAATAAGATTTTAAAATGCATACATTTTATTTATTGAAGAAAATAATTAAATTCATAATAATTTGTAATAATAACTTGTTATATGTTACATATTTAATGCTACATACAATTAATATTAGATCTATAAATATACAAAAAGATACATAATTCATATTTAAAAAAAATGTGTTTATTACAGAAACATACATTTTTTAAATTATAACGTTTTATTTATTAATAATTTGTTTTATATATATATATATATATATGTGTGTGTGTGTGTGTGTGTACTATATGCATGCTACATGTATTTAGTATAATGTTGAATTTATTAATGTGCATAAAATATACATACTGTACCTATATGATTCATATATACATTTTATTAAATAATGTATGTTTTATTTATAATATATTTTTTTACAAAAACGTATTTTAACATACAATTAATATTAGATCTATAAATATACAAAAAGATACATAATTCATATTAAAAAAAATGTGTTTATTACAGAAACATACATTTTTTTAAATTATAACGTTTTATTTATTAATAATTTGTTTTATATATATATATATATATGTGTGTGTGTGTGTGTGTGTACTATATGCATGCTACATGTATTTAGTATAATGTTGAATTTATTAATGTGCATAAAATATACATACTGTACCTATATGATTCATATATACATTTTATTAAATAATGTATGTTTTATTTATAATATATTTTTTTACAAAAACGTATTTTAATATAATAGCAACACTAATTATAATATTATTTATAGCATAATAGTCATTATATGTCATCAGTTATGTATTATATATTTAATGCTACGTGTATTTCATATAATTAATATTAGATCTATTAAATATGCATGAAACTTTAGACTTTTTGTGAAGAGTTGATGCTGAATGCATTGATCAGCTCCTGAAGGTTTAATGTGGAGGCGAGTGTTTAGTGGAGTGAATCAGGGCTTTGACCGCTGTGTTTACACGAGAGTAAACAAGCGTGCTCTCACGAGCGTCTCACACTAATGTCACAGCAGCTGGGAACAGCACTGAAGCACAAGTGTGATCTGCTGTGTAGCTGTGTGTTTGATGAAGCAGAGTTAAGATGCAGATGTTTGTGTTTGTGCTGCAGATCATCATGACAGCAAACCCCTCCGTCCTGCTGCTGCTCACGACACTGCTGCACACACCGGTGAGTCTCGGCAAACACGATATCATTATTATTGATCAAACAATACGCTGTTTAAAAGTAGATTTATTTATAATGAGTTATGTTGTACATATTTAAGACTATATTTGTATATTTAATAATATTTTCAAGAATAATTTACTAATATATCTACTTATATGAAATTATAAATATATATATATGTGTGTGTGTGTGAGAGTGTGTGCATGTTTATGTGGTTTATGAGGACACAAATTTGTATAATAACATGGGTAAGACATAGGTATTACAACGAGAAGGTGATTTATGAGGACATTTTCAGTGTCCCCGTAATTCAAAACGCTTATAAATCACACAGAATGGAGTGTATTGAAAATCCAGAACATAATTACAGAAAATAATAAACATTTACACTTTACAAGCTCTCATTTATTAATATTAATTAAAATCTTATATATATATAGTATTCTTAGTCTTTTTTAAAGTTATTTTAGTACTACAAGTTACACTAAAGAAAAATTAGAAATGTTGCTTTGCTAATATTACAGATACATTTTATTTTATTTTAAGTAACAAAATTGTTTTTTAAATGCTTTAATTATAGTTAACGTTAGTAATGCTAACTGACCAGCATATATTTACAGCATTTATTGTTAACTTTGTTAATGTTAGTTATTAATAAAAATATGTTCCTGGATTCTTCATGTTAGATCACAGTCTATTAACTACAGTTAATTACATTTTGGTTTAAAAATATGTAAATGTTGAGTATTAGTTCATGTTAAAATTGGTCAATGTAACATTATTAGTGAATGCAAGATGCATAAATGCTGTACTATTACATAATAATAATAATAATAATAATAAAGATTTTAATAATAATCTCTCTCTCTCTCTATATATGTATGTATATATATATATACAGTATATTTTAGTTCTGTCGCACAATTAATCGCATCCAAAATAAAAGTTTTTGTTTGCATATGTGTGTGTACTGTGTATATTTATTATGTATATATAAATACACACTCATGCATGTTTATATTTTGAAAATATTTACATGTCTATATTTATATTCATAATATTTATATTATAAAAAATATATTTAATATATAAACATAACATATTTTGCTGAAATATATACATGTATGTGTGTGTATTTATATATGTACATAATAAATATACACAGCACACACATATATTATGTAAACAAAAACTTTTATTTTGGATGAAAATTACTCAAAAACAATTTTTTAGCTAAATTGAAATGTAATTTTTTTTTTACAAAAATGAAAAAAGCACACTACTAAATTACAAAAAATAAAATAAATTAAGTTTAAGTGGAAGTACTGAAATACTAAAACCAAAACATTTTAAGCTAAATAGAAATATTAATAATATTAATGATACAAATAAATGACATGTATTAAATAATGACAATGCTAATAGTATTAATAATAATAATAATGAGAAAAGCACAGGTTGTGTGAGTGAGCTCTGATTGTGAAGTGTGCTGTTTTCTGTGTAATGCTGCAGCTGTGTCGCGGTGAAGACGTGCTCGTGATGTCAGCAGAGCAGGAGAGCCATATCCCAGAATCCTCTGCTGAGCTGAGCGTGGCGCGCAAGCAGATCCTCTCGGCTCAGTTTGAGTGTTACCTAAAGATCATGTATGAGCCGCCGCACAGAGACCCGGGTGAGATGCACACACACACACACACACTCGCTCGCACGCACACACACACACACGCTCTCTCACACGCACAAACACACACTCACACACTCACTCACTCACACACACACACTCTCTCACACACACGCACTCACTCACTCACACACACACACACACACACACACACTCACTCACTCACTCACTCACACGCACGCTCGCTCGCTCGCACGCACGCACGCACTCACACACTCACACACACTCACACACACACACACACACACTCACGCACGCTCGCTCGCACGCACGCACGCACGCACGCACGCACACACACTCACACACACACACACACATGGCAGAGAAATAGCACTTATTAAAGAATAATAATGAAGCTCTGTGAATACACGATGCAATGATTTTGTTAGGCTTTCTTAAAAAGCAGAATTGCATAACAAATTAAGACTCTTTTTTTACTGAATATATTTATTATTTTGGCCCCTTGGCATCTTTGTTAAAGGGATAGTTCACTCAAAAATTTAAATTCTGTCATTAATTACTCACCCTCGTGTCGTTTCAAACCCGTAAGACCTTCGTTCATCTTCGGAACACAAATTAAGATATTTCTGATGAACTCCGAGAGCTCTCTGACCCTCCATAGACAGCAATGATAAACACAGCAAGGACATCGGTAAAATAATCCATGTCACATTATTGTTATTATTTTTTTTTTTTCGTTGTTAACAAAAACTATTAAAAATAGCCATCATTAATTTAAATAAAGCTGAAATAAAATACAATAAAAAATACTAGATAAATATTAGATTAAAAAAATACATGAACATTAAAACATTGCCTTGGCAAAAAAACTGAAATAAAATAAGTTATTATTATTATTTTGTAATTTATTTACTAAAACTTAAGGTGAAAAACTAAATAGAAATATTTAAAAAGAAAAAACGACAAATTAAATAGCAAAAGCACACACACAAAAGAGACTAAAACTTAAACTAAAATTAAAACTGAAAATATAAAAATAAAAGCTAATTTAATGTATTCATAATAACAGTGCTAAAATAACACTGGCAATATTTGTCCATAAACTCAGTTCAAGATCTATTCTCTGAATTCTAATCTCTGATCTATAGTTTTTTTGTTAGTTTTTTTGTGTTTTGTGCATGTTTTGTCATTTTTATTTTATTTTTTAAAAATGTCTGAATTATTTTTATTATTTTTATTTCGCAATGATAAACACAGCAAGGACATCGGTAAAATAATCCATGTCACATTATTGTTATTATTATTTTTTGTTGTTGTTAACAAAAACTATTAAAAATAGCCATCATTAATTTAAATAAAGCTGAAATAAAATACAATAAAAAATACTAGATAAATATTAGATAAAAAAAATACATGAACATTAAAACATTGCCTTGGCAAAAAAACTGAAATAAAATAAGTTATTATTATTATTTTGTAATTTATTTACTAAAACTTAAAGTGAAAAACTAAATAGAAATATTTAAAAAGAAAAAAACGACAAATTAAATAGCAAAAGCACACACACATTTTGTAATTTATTTACTAAAACTTAAAGTGAAAAACTAAATAGAAATATTTAAAAAGAAAAAACGACAAATTAAATAGCAAAAGCACACACACAAAAGAGACTAAAACTTAAACTAAAATTAAAACTGAAAATATAAAAATAAAAGCTAATTTAATGTATTCATAATAACAATGCTAAAATAACACTGGCAATATTTGTCCATAAACTCAGTTCAAGATCTATTCTCTGAATTCTAATCTCTGATCTATAGTTTTTTAGTTAGTTTTTTGTGTTTTGTGCATGTTTTGTCATTTTTATTTTATTTTTTAAAAATGTCTGAATTATTTTTATTATTTTTATTTTAGTTAAACTAAATGATGAATGTTGCCTTGGCGACTATTTGAAAAAAAAAAAGTTTAAGATTTTATTTTATTTTATTTTACTTTTCAGTTAAAGTTTGTTTTATTGCAATTATTGTAAATGTATTTTTAAAAGTTTTGTTTAATTATAAAAACCCTAAACGGCGTAGAAAAGCAGCTTCATCATTAAAGACTCAGATTTTCTTCCATTAATATTGATATCTAGCTGTAACGTAATTATTTCCTGTGTTTCCTTGTGTTCGTCTCCGGTGGGAATGATAATGGATCACATCATGATCGTTCGGGCTTTTATGGAGGGACTTGGAGGAAGCTGATAATGGTTTAGTGAGCGTACGGTAATAATTAGTGTGTAATTATGTAAACCTAATCGACTCTTTATGGCTGATGTCGGTGTGGAGATAAAACTCCCAGAATCCACTGTTCTCTCTGAAAGACAGGAAGTGATTTGTAGCGTCAGAGTTGGTTTCCTGTGATTGTACGCTGGAGAGTTATGAGGAAACTCGCTTCAGTCTCCAGTGTTTCTGCTCCATAAACCAGGGTTTATTCTGGAGTTAATGTACTTGCAGCAAAACAGCTAAACGTCGTTAAAACTGCATACATATACTTAAGAAGCAAAATTGCATGACATATTAACACTCTTTTTTCAATTCATTATTACAATACATTGTCAGTGTTCCCTCTGATAGGAAATGCATGGTGTAAATCTGCTTCCGCTGTTCAGCAGAGCGAGATAGATAGAAAAACTGAGCTGTATTGTCCGTACTGTATCTGTGACTTTACAAACGGCCACAGGTGTCGTTTCCCGACATTCGATATTCGCAAGGGACCGTCTCTAAAGTTACATACGACATTAGTATTCACTTTTCTAAGTTAAATAGCATTTGAAGAGAATGACTTACAGTAACACAACCAATTGTAAAGTGTTCATATACCTCACTGTGGTGTGTGTCTGTGTCTGTGTCTGTGTCTGTGTGTGTCTGTGTGTGAGAGTGTGTCTGTGTCTGTGTCTGTGTCTGTGTCTGTGTGTGTGTCTGTGTCTGTGTGTCTGTCTCTGTGTGTGAGAGTGTGTCTGTGTCTGTCTGTGTCTGTGTCTGTGTGTGTGTCTCTCTGTGTCTGTGTCTGTGTCTGTGTGTGTGTCTCTCTGTGTCTGTGTCTGTGTCTGTGTGTGTGTCTCTCTGTGTCTGTGTCTGTGTCTGTGTGTGTGTCTGTGT